TCTGGTTTTTGAATTATATGAGCCAACCAATTCAATATGTAGTCGTTCACATTTGACTCCTTGTTCGCGAGGACCTCGTATATGTGTTGGAGTAATGGATCTATGGCATCATGATCTACGGGTGAAAGCGGCTTACAAGCGAGCGGGAATCCATGAAAGAGGTTGTACTCGTCACTGGAGCACGGTAGCGCACCGCTCGACGGCTTGAAAACGATTCGTTGATGGGTCTTTCGACGAGAGGACTTGCACCACAGTTTTCCGAGATTCTCCACATTTTTCCCCATGGTCAGGTTGAAAGATTCGCATCTATCGATGAATTCGTTTCGAGTGCGGTATATGCTTTTTGAAGGAGTTGCAGCTTCCTCTTAGTATTATAAACCGTTTCGATGAACATCGTCTTCGAGCTTCCATCTATGACACAGAAGTAATGATTCATTGTTTCAAAAGCAAGGCGTATGAGTTGATCAAAGTCCTTGCGAATCTGTTTTGGATCCGTACATTCATCCGCATGGAATCTTGCAATGATCCTAGCCGCTTTCTCAAACACAAAGAAATCAAACCGATGTTTTCTTGTGAGTAACTCGGGCCAATGGCAGATACCGAGGAACGATCTGGGAGTCTGAACACACTCGGATGAGAGGCAATGATACATCAAAAGGACTCCATCACTAATCACACTAAAGTTGTTGCTGACATGCTTCTTCTGATTGACGCACTTTCTGGATCCTGCCACTCTGAACTTCATGATGGCTTCCCCATTGCAAAACTTTGTACCAGTGTATCGGCTGGTGCGGTCGTTGCACTTCGACTGTAACAGGCCTTTTGTGTGTTGAACTATTGATGAAGTGCGTTCATTCTCTGACAAAAGGGTACCTTCTTTTTCCGTATGTAACCTGGTTGATATCGGCCTTGCGATTTTATCAGGAGGAGGTTCGCCTACACCGGCATTCAGAATGTCGATCAACCATGGTGGCACCGGTGCGAGCTCGATTTCCCATGGTGCTGTAATCCATTCATATGAGTTGATTTCACCATTCCGTTCGAACGAACTAGGAGGTGCAAATATGATTCCATTGCCTCGATAGTCTATCGTCGTCTTCTTCCCATCGATCACCAATTTTGTAGTGTCCGTTTTCCTCTTCAATCCGGATGTCTCTGCGTCGAAGTAATAGTGCCATCCACCACTTTGCGACTCGGCCTTCCAAGTCATAGGCTCGCCATTTTGTTCGATTTTTGATAACCAAAGCTTCATGCCGTCCGCGATATCAGGATCCCCGTTTGCTTTTGAGAAATCCACATCTACGACGACGATGCTGTTCAGACCTTCTCTTCCACAACAGAGAGCTATCGAATTTTTAGAGGCAACACCGCGAACCTCGTTTTCATGCTCTGCCCAAGTTGCTTCTGATACGATATCTGCATACTTTGAGCAACACCAGTTACGTGCCTTTTTAGTGCAACTGGTAGGGTCCCATCTCAATTCCAGAGTGAGAGGGAGCAGATGTAAACGCCGGTAGTCGTTGATAGCCGTGGTCAGATCTTTCGTTCGAGACATGGGTCGAGAGTATCACGTGTGCGGCGCCTTTGTTTTAGGCCTAAGGAAACTTTATTTGAAACGAAACGCGTTCGGTGAACATGCCCGCTGACAACAGAACCATCAAGGGCATAAAGGACCAACCAACGCATGAACGTCATCGCTTGAGGTTGCGAGACGATTGCATGTAACACTCTTATCGATCAATTGTGCGTCTATTAACTTTATCATAGTACTTGCCCAGACGTTTTTACCTTGCTCAAATCGATGGAGAGCCTTTCTCAAACATACAGCATCTTTGTTTGAGTCGTAGTATCGTTTCGACCACTTACGAAACAGCTCTGGATGCTCATTTCGATACTCGTGCTCGTACCGGCGCCTGCGTTCGATGGCGGATTCAGATGGCATTCTGCAGAGAGCCACTGTATTACAATTGGCACTACATAAAGTTTTTTGCAATTTGGACGAACGAACCGTACCACCTGTACCACCTCGAACGAGCAATTTCTACCGTTTTATTTTGTAGGTGACTGCGTTTTTCTATTACGCATTGGCACTACATAAAAGTATATATGTACCATCGTACCACATGTACCACCTCAAACGATGAAGTTCTACCGTTTCTTTTTTTAGTTTTTGGTTTTTGAGAGCACTTGGAATTCGATGGTACGGTGGTACGGTGGTACGTGAAGACTTTATGCAGTGAGCTTTGCTAGTATATATATATATATATATATATAAGGTGGTACAAGGTGGTACAAAGAAAGGGTTCTTCCCTTCCACGTAAAACATCACACAAAAACATGATCATACCCCGAAAGCATCTGAAAAAACAAAGAGAGCGTTGGGATTGATTTTTTTAACTCATTTGACGGCTCTATTTTACCTAAACTCGCTAAGCTCAGTCGATAACTTACACATTAATTACAAGGAAACGGACGGCCTCCGTCCACAAGTCCGCTCTACCGGCTATCAGGATCTTTGCGTCGTCGACCCGTGTGAGCTCCGAGTTTCGTCCGCTGATAAGATTAGCTAATATTACCATGAAGGCTTCTAGTCCGGAGTACCAGCCGAGCGTCCTAAATCTAACCAGGAATGAATTACAGCTTTCGACCGCAGAAGTATTGACCCAGCGCACCGCGTCGTAGTATGATCTGATACAAAAGACGGAAATAGGTTAGCCTAGCCTGGTAAATGCTCATAGCGATTGCGGTTGGCATGCAGAGTCAACGATAATAAGCGTTTGCGGGACAATGCAAAGCTGGTGCGCACGCTTGAGAGTCATTCGAACGTGTTGCTTTGGTGTTGGAAGGCTTACCGGGGTTGAAGGATGGTCCGCACTTGTGGGCCTCAGCTCCAGTGCGTTGGAAGTGGAACCTGAGACAAAACACGTTGACCGTTAGATTCGACCAGGCGCCTTTGTTATGAAGCGCCCTTTTTTCGGAGCCAGGTATACATCTTCAAAAAACAGGTTGGGGGGCCAGTGGGGGGCACCCTATGCAGTATGTCAAGGAGCGGCGGGTATATCAAATGCACTGGATTCACTGCGGCTCAATGGCAGAAGCTGCGGGGCCGAGTCGAAGCTCTTAACCAAATCCATGAAGGTCGAACGGTCTCAGTCTCACCTGTCGACCAGGAACCGGACGTCGGCAAAGAAAGCCGGTTCTCGTCTCATGCAGTACGACTGCAGCTTGCACGCATTGTCGTAGAAAATGTACCGGGGGAGGTTCCGTCGATCCAATCGAGTGTAGAGCACGGTGAAGGGGTCTCGAGGTGACTCGCCCCGGAGCATGGCGTGAAAGCCATAAATGACTCTATGGCTGCAGCAGAAGACGAACCCGCCCTTGGTGTGATTTTGCAATCGCTTTGCCGACTTCGATCCCCCTTTGGAGGCGACCTCCGCATCAAACTTGCCCACCGTGAGCCCGCTCCTACACCGGTGCTCTTCGCTGCCCTCGATCGAGCGGCCTAGTTCGTCCTCGAAGGGCTTATATTGGGGAAGGGAGCGCTTCTGTTCCCACCCCGGCAGAGGGTAGCAACCGAGCACGCGCTGCTCCTTGCAGAAGGAGTGCTCTAGGGGAAGGGCTCCGCATGATTCACCGTCCGGATTCAGACCCAGCCGCTCGTTCAAGAGCTCCGTCTCAGGTACGTTGAGCGGGTACAACGCCGTAGAGGGCGCTGTCAAGCTCTCGACACCGGGGAGCAGGGCATTCGCTCTCATCTCCCAGAATTCGACGGCCTGCAGGCGATCTGCGGTCCGGGTCCACGGGCGCTCCACGAAGTCGCGTGCTGCCCAGACGCAGTAGTCGAGACCCTCGATAGCAGACAACGGCCAGCCAGCTCGTCCCACCCCGAGCCCGACCGCGCCTCGGCCGAAGAGGGTCAGCCGATAGAGATGGTGCAACGCTGGGGTGAAATACCTCGGGAAAACGAACCCGAAGTGGTCCAGCAAACGCCCCAGGATGGGAGCGTGCTCAGCGAGAATCGCCTTATCTTCCAGGTTGGCAACTCCCCCCAAGAGTAGCTTCCGGACCACGGCCAGAGCCCGCTGATGCTGAATGAGGTTGCTGTCGTCCGAGACCGACTGCGGCGTGCCTAAGCCATAGAGTAGCTCCGCCCACTTTGCGGGGCATCGCGGTGGTCGTAGAGGGGAAGCTCGCGGGGCCTCTGTCTCGATCCCCGCTAGGAGCGCCAGCATGGCACGGTTCTTTGATCGAATCTGTGCAAACTGGTCGAGGAGAAGGCGGCGCCGCTCGTAGACTAGCACTCGGGGCCTCTTCGTCGACGGGGTTCGGCACGAACTCCGGGGCGACCTGCACATCCTCTCGGTCGAGTGCGGCCTGCCACAAGAAGATAAGGCGGCTAGAGACAGTGGTGTTCGAGATTTGCATCCATGCTGCTCTTTTTGCTGTGTCTGTCATCGCAGACCATAAGTCTAAAAGACCTAAATTTCAAGTCTTTTTATTTTATATATTATTTGCTCTTTAATATCTGAAATAAGAAAGACTTAGAATCTGGGTCTTTTGGGCTGTTGGTCTGTGGCTTGATGACGTCAGCAATTTGCCCACAGAGATACTCGATTTAAAACTTGGACAGTTTGGGAGGGGTCTACGGAATTCAGTCACGCCGTGCACGCGATCCTACCAGCCTCGTTGGACTATAGCTTCAAGTCAGCTCACCAGCAATTCGTCGAACTCCACGTTGCTCAGCTTGGCTCCTAGATCAGGGTTGTCAGGATGATGCTGGCTGAAGCGCGCAATCAATGCACGGAGCTCCGGTTGGTGCACCAAGCGCCGCTTTAAACCAGCCCCACCCAAGGCGGCAGCACAGAAATTCACCCCCGGCTCCATGAGCTTCACGACATTCACCCCCTCGGCGTCTTGACTCGGTGCCGTAAATGGCCGCAATTGCGCAGCGCTGGATCCAGCAAGCCCTCCCTTCTGCCGCCCACCATCGGCAGAAGCCAGCCCCATCGGAAAAAGCCTCGACTGCCGGGCATACGCCGGACGAGAGCCGGCCTAGACCTCAGGTGCCGCCCCTAAATGGGCTCCTGCCGGACCCGCATAAGGGCCGGCCGCCCGGCAGTTTGTTGGCCGGCCGGCACTGGTTATGTACGGGTCCAGCAATACTATAGCCCCACACTTGCTGCGGCCGGCCGGCAGTAGTATTCCTAGGTACTACT